GGGGCATAGAGGAGAAACAATAATGTACAGTATGTGGAAAATAATGTGATTTTTGAACCTTAAACCGCATAAACACATTTCATTACACCAAACACACAAAATAATGTTCTTTTTAGCAACATCATATGACCCTTTTAAAAGTCTAAAAGACCCTCGTTTTTATAAAGTAACACTGTCCAACAGCGACACCCGCAGGTAAAGTTACAGCGGAGGCTTGCCTCCCTTCGGTCCATTGACTTTCTACAGAGACCCTAAAGCGTGCCGTGACTTTTCTGGAGGCTCATTGAGATGAATGGGGAAAGTCACGTGAGAGGAGGCAATGCCTCCATCGCGCTATAATTGGATATGATCGGTTATGATTAAATGTGATTGGTTCGTGTAATAAATCCCGCCTCTTGCTTTCGTGCGAGCTCTCGGCCTGCTTTGTGTCACGTCAAAATGAAACATGAAATGGTTTGAAAACGTGATGACTGTCAGTTTTTAGTGTTCAGCTTGATGAAATGAAAGATGTAGCCTATCTTCGTGCCTGTGACAATGTTTGTGACAGGGCTTTTATGACAATGACCCGAAAATAAGTTGACTATTAAAAAGAACAGCTGAACATCAGTTCACAAATAAAAAACAGAGTGTCTATTTACAAGTGCAAATAGCCCGCCTTGTTGGCAGAGGTTATTTACACTAACTCTGCCCATCAACGTGTGATTACAAAGCATTACAGAAGACCATCATTTAATAATAGCTCCAGTGGCGCAGATGGTGAAGTACGTGTTGAAGTCGTTTTTGATGCGATCGACTGGAGTTCGAATCCGCATTTTGCCGAACCTTTTTGCCCTACCTTTTTAAATCAGATATCACGTTGGAAAGACATGTATTTTCAATAATAATGAAGGAAATAATCTAAAAGTTGAACTTAAAGTATTGGGTAGGGTTAGGGTATGTGTAGGGAGGGCTTTATTGTCCCAATAAGGTGGCATCCTTTTAATATTTGAATTAAAATTATAATTTACACTCAATATGTTATTAATGCAGATTATTGTCACTATTTGCAATAAATAGTGTAAATAGCAGAAAATCCTGCTAACATTAGGTGTAAATAGAATCTATAGCTATTTGCACTGTGTAAACATGAATTTATATATATATATATATATATATATA